CAACAGAAACAGACTCTATTAACCAAATAGAAACCCCTCTGCAAATACCTCAAGTCTGTTTTGACAAAAAGGTCCGTAAGCGCACACACCGGGCTCTGGGAGTGCAGGTTTTGTATGGAAAATCATGTTGAGGTGAATCGGGAGTGGAACCCCCCCCTGGCTGGACTGAAGTAGCCAGCGCCGCGGCCAGGCCCGTTTCTATTCCGGGAGCAGCGCTGACGGGCCCTGACAGATGCAGGCCTCGGAATGTGGCAGGGACAGGGAGCAGGCACAGCTGATCTGCACTCTTGGCAAGAAGACCTGTTGGGATCCCAGCTCCTCTGCCCAGCGCGGCAGCCGCAGTGACAGCTCAGCACATGTGGCCTCCGGTGGCCCGGGCGGCGTTCCCCCAGGAGCGGGGTGCAGGGCGGGGGGAGGATGCTCTGAGCCTTAGGTGGCACAGCTTTTCTCTAGCTGCATGACAAGTCTTCTGTAAGGCCTTCAAGGCACTTCATCGGGGATGGGTGGAGCAGGAAGGCGCGGCTTTCTAGTAGGCAGAGGTGCAATATGTTATCGCTTCCGCGCAGCGCCAGCCCCGGTCCGGAGGCTGGGCGCTGGGCCTTATTCCCCTCATGAAAGAATCCCTGAGCTACCAAGAAGTACCTAGAAACACGGCGTGCCAGGCTCCGGATTCCGCACGGCTCACTGACCTCTCTGAGACCCAACTTATAGCTGGGGGGCCAGAGGGAAGACAGACCCATTTTATCTAGCAGTTGAACCGCAAATCATCTTTTATTCTATTAAACTTAGTGCACTGAGTTTACCTGGCCACGGATCATGAGTCCTGGCTGGGCTGTGGAAAGCCAGACTGAGGAGAGAACTCACCAGGGAAGCCATGGCGCCCGCGGCTCAGTCAGCTGCGCTCCCAACTCCCCAGTTTTGGAGTGGAAAGGAACGCCTCCCCACGTGACAGGTGATTGAACTAGGAGCTCAGGCCTAGCAAATGGTTAGAGGAAGAGGAATACTAGCCCAATTTTCAGTTGCGCTGTGATCAAAAAGACGTCAATCTTAAAAATTCAATCTGCCATCCTGTTTGCCTTAACAAACCCAACATACCAGAGAAGAAATTTTATTAAACTTTCACCAACACCAAAATGTTTCTTTTTTTAATGCAGTGGCTTCTTTTATCCGATATTCAGAGAGTTGCCATTAATTTTGTGCATATTTGATCAATGAAATCTAGACACAGACCCTGTTCCTTAAACCAACAGGAGATTGACGGTCTTTTTAAACAAAAATGGTAACTGCATATTTAATCTAAAATTTGAAAAGAAGTGCCAGATTCTCTGATCAACCACGTCATGTGAGCCTTCTTTGAACCTGCCTCAAAATTTTATATCCTTCCTTCCCTTAAAAGGATAGAGAAATTCATAGGATTTGTGCATCAAAAACCATCTTGTACACTAAACCAGACTGGACTTTGTGTTCTCCATACCCCAGATTTGATATTACAACCCTCCTCTCTACCTCAGTCTGTGTCCTCAAGCTGGGAAATGCTAACTCTTCATCTACCACAGGGCTTAGCGCACTCTGGGTTAGAGGCCAGCCAGGGCCAGGATTCCGTCTAGGTACAAATCCTTGCTCCAGCACACCTACTTACCTGACTATGGACAAGCTCCTTTTGGCTTTTTCTATACCTCAATTTCTTCACGTATAACACTAGCACAATATTGCCTACCCTTTAGGAGTTCTGTAGTGTTTAAACTAAAAAACAAATAGAAGTAAAGTAAATAAGCCAGGGCGCCACACAGATCAACCCCATTTGTAATGATGTAGGTAGGAATGGGAATGTCATTTAACACAAATTTGCCTGCAGTGACTTATGTTTAGGAATAACTGATGTTCATCCTTGGACAAATCCAAAAGATGCTGTAAAACGACTTCAACGGCAGCACTTAGCAAGTGCTAATTCGTGACACACCCACCATGGGCATGGCCCAAGAGCCAGGACCTTCGGCGGTCTACGAGGAGGCAGCGTGGAAATGGGCTGTTCTCCGCGTCCCAGGGCCCGTGTGCAGCTCTCGCCGTGGGACTAGGAGGGTCGGGTGAGGCTGTAGCACCCTATCCAGGAGGGGACTTCCCTGGGCTCCCTCCCATGAAGGCTGGAACTCCTTCCATAGCAAAGTCTCTTCTCTGACCCAAGAAGGAAGGGGCAGAGAGGACTGGCAGTGCCCCCGAACAGCCACTCGTGCCATTACCCCACCTCAGCTGCCGCATGCGGCCTGCTCCTCTCCTTAGCCTGCCCCCCATTCCTGTGGCCACCAGCAGTCCCAGACAGGCCTGCGAAGGTTTTCTTCATCTGGCCCCAAAGGGGGCCACTCATCAGAACGCCCCCCCACCCCACCCCGGGCAGAAAGCGGCAATCAAGCCTGCTGTGCGTCAGGAGAGCAGCTTCAAAACCCTGTGCCCACGCACAGCTCAGCACAGGAGTCCTCAGCACGAGTCTATCCCGAGTGACGTTCTCCGTGAGCATGGAGACCCTGGGGTACCCCTTACCAAGGCCAGACACCCCAGTGCGGCTGGGCTCCAAGCTCCAACTTCACACAAGAAAAAAGAAAGACGCCATGCAGAACAAAACAAAACAAAACCAGCTCTCATCCAACTTCAGCTAAAATCTAAGCTCAATGGAAACAGAAAGCTGTCCAGAGTTACCGCCAATGTCCAGGAGGCCGTGTGGCTGCTGTGCACGGTGCATGCAGCCCCCCCTTCCTCTCCCTCCTCCTCCTCCTCCTCCCCCTCCTCCTCCCCCTTCCTCCTCTTCCTCCTCCAGCCTCACTGTGGCCATTGCTGATGGGCAGCTCCCATCTGACTCCAGCATGCACAGTGAGTGTGTGTGGCTATAGAGAACATAGTGAGTGTCTATATGATCCCTGTATGTTCATCTCTGAACTAGTTCCCGAGTAAAAATTACCTGAGTTATGCAGTTCCTCTCCAGACACCTATCAGCCCATGCAATCGGCCTTCAGGCCCAGTATGATGACCAAATGATGAATGAAACTGAAATTAATCTGTTCTGAGTTCCTTCCACATGGCCTCCGAGGCTGCTCTTACAGTTTCTCTCCTCTAAAACTACCCTGCTCTTAACTTAAATATGATGGTTGGCCAAGTGTGTGTGTGTGTGTGTGTGTGTGTGTGTGTGTCTGTGTGTGTGTCTGTGTGTGTGTGTGTGTGTGTGTGTGTATGTGTGTGTGTCCAGTGTCGCAAGCCTCTACTCCCTGGGAAGTCCCCCGTGTGCAGGATCAGACAGTTCACTCAGGAGACTCTGGGTTTTGATCCGCCAAACCTGAGAGCGGGGCTTCTCTGCAGCAGGGCCCAAAGCAGAACGCAGACGCCCCCATCCTTCCACTGGCTTTCCCACCCTAGCGTCACCCCACAAGATAAGTCCTGGCAAAAGAAGGCACCGTGTTCTGTGCAGCCTGATTTGCTAACCTGACCTTAACCGAATGTCCCAAGCTTTCTCAAGTGCCAGCATTCATATCAAGGCCCGCTCTAGCCCTGTGGCCCAACTGTACTCTGTTTAGTGTCTAATTGAAATATCATCCCTACATGCCACTAACAAAATAGTATTTCACTGAAGGGCACAAAAATTCTTTGCTTTCAGTCAGAAGCATCCAGACTACTCGTTAAGGTCAGTATCTCCTTCAGACAAGAGCATTAATAAGTTTATATCTGCATGAATAAAATATTGGCCCCTTGGGCTCTCCCAGAAATGCAAGAAAGGCATTATTCCCCGAAAGCCCTGTGCTGTGCTTATGTAGCACTCTTGGCCTGATTTTGTGTTTGGCATGACTTCTCTCTCTAGCAAAACTCCAATTTTCACTGTTTCACCAAGCCCAGAAAACTGCTACCCTCAGCAGAAGGCTTCTGCTAGCTGCTGGCTGAACAAAATACTCTAAATTTCCCCCAGGAAATTCAACATAGAGCCACTCAACACCTAAGTCAAGTGCATGTGAACACTAAAATGCGGTGGCTTTGTAGTCTATTTTACGAGGTAGGGCTGCCTTTTTGCAAAGTTTGCATATCTGGAAAATGGTATGCAAAAATTAATAAGGAAAGGTGCATGTACTGTAGTGTTTTTAAGAAATGTAAATGTGAGTAAGAAAGTTTGGGCTGAATGAAAAGAAGAAACACTGACAGAGAGACAGAGTCCGCTTGCTTCCTCCCTGTGCCCTCTTCCTCCTGGGGGCAGGAAAGGTCCAAGGCAGCGGAGAGCTGAGCAGCTGAGCGTGTGGAGCCTCCCCTCCCCCAGTCCTCTGGGAAAACCCAGCTGAGCTGGTGACCAGGGGCTCGCCAAATGTTAGCAAATGTGTCTCTTAAAATATAACAGGCTTCAGGCTGAGCTGGAGATCAGTGGCAAAGCAAGTTCAACGTCCTGGGCTCGGTCCCTCGTTTGTACAGATGTACATACATAGGTAGATGTGACAGGTTTCATTGCTACTGTGATTGGAACAATCTTTCCATTATATTTTAAAGTTTTACATGGATTTCTCAATTTTCATATTTTCATTGAGGAAAATCTTTGATATGGAGTTACTTCACTTTCTGATGAGAGTTAGATGAAGTCCTTCCAACGATGTTCACGAGTCACTCAACAATCAGTGTCCAGTGGAAGCCGGGTTGTTCCTTTGTGGTAAAACTGCCACTTGGCAGCTCGCCTCTGGGGACGATGCTCGTTTTTCTAGAATCCTCTTCATGCTTGGTGCTGAAGTAAACAGTAAACTGTGCATGTAGTTTAAAGACCATATTTGCTTTCCTTTACCTGTATTCTCAGGACTAAGTTACCTCATGCCATTATACTATTAACTTATAGAAAGTTATTTGCAGTGTGGGTTTTCAAAGTCCAAAAGGAAAAAACCACAATTTGAACTGTCTTTTTTCCCCTCTTCTCCTCTCTTTTCCTCTCCTCTTCCTGCCCCTCCGCTCCTCCTCCCCTCCCTGCCTTGCCCTCTCTTCTTTTCCAGCGAGCTCTTCCTGTGACAGTGGCCTTGCCAGCATGGCCCCCAAAAGGAAGTGTGTCAAAAAGCCCAAAGCAGACGTCAAGGAGACGACCATCATCGTGGAAGAGAGCCCCCTGAGCAAGCTGCACGCTCTGAACGGGCTCCTGGAAGGGGGCAGCGGCCTGAGCTGCATTTCTTCTGAGTTGATGGATGCATCGCACGGACCCAACCTCTTGGAAGGGTTAAGTAAGATGCGACAGGAGAACTTCCTCTGTGACCTAGTCATCGGCACCAAAACCAAATCCTTTGACGTTCACAAGTCCGTGATGGCGTCGTGCAGCGAGTACTTCTACAATGTCCTCAAAAAAGATCCGTCGGCTCCAAGAGTGGACCTCAACGACATCTCGCCGCTCGGGCTGGCCACCGTCATCGCCTATGCCTACACGGGCAAGCTGACCCTCTCGCTGTACACCATCGGAAGCGTTGTGTCCGCGGCGGTCCACCTTCAGATCCACACTCTGGTGAAGATGTGCAGCGATTTCCTCATGCGGGAGATGAGTGTGGAGAACTGTATGTATGTGGCCAACATTGCCGAAACATACTCCCTGAAAACAGCCAAAGCTGCCGCCCAGAAATTCCTACGGGATAACTTCATCGAATTCGCCGAGTCCGATCAATTCATGAAACTGACCTTTGAACAGATCAATGAACTCCTTATCGATGATGACTTACAGTTGCCTTCTGAGATAGTAGCATTCCAGATTGCAATGAAATGGTTAGAATCTGACCAAAAGAGAATGAAACACGCAGCAGATCTTCTGAGCAATATCCGCTTCGGCACCATCTCTGCCCAAGACCTGGTCAATCATGTTCAGTCTGTGCCCAGAATGATGGAAGATGCCGACTGCCACAAACTTCTGGTAGACGCGATGAACTACCACCTGCTCCCCTACCACCAGAACACACTGCAGTCGAGGCGGACACGAATCCGAGGCGGCTGCCGAGTCCTGGTAACTGTCGGGGGACGCCCGGACCTTACTGAGAAGTCCCCCAGCAGAGACGTTCTGTATAGAGACCCTGAAAATGGATGGTGCAAGCTGACGGAAATGCCAGCCAAGAGCTTCAATCAGTGTGTGGCTGTGATGGATGGATTTCTTTATGTAGCCGGTGGCGAAGACCAGAACGATGCGAGAAATCAAGCCAAGCACGCAGTCAGCACTTTCTGCAGGTATTTCATCTTGTGTGTGGCTGGGGCTGGGGGCGGTGGGGGGGGGGGGTCCTACCTTGACACAGAAGTAACTTAATCATGGGCATGAGCTTAGCTTACTGGGTCAGTAATAGTTACCAGGCTGCGTAACATGGGTATGGCGTTCAAATGATTTCCAAAATAAGCCCGTTAGGTGGGACTAGAAGGCAGGATTGTTTTTATTTTATAGATGAAAACGTGGTACCCAAAGAACTCAGACCAATAGGAAGTAGTCATGTTTCCACATTGTAGGCATGTACTGTTCACTAAGCAGTTAGAAAAAAACCACACAGCACAAAATTTTTTGAAGTTGCTGCTGCTGGCAACTGTCTGATTCATAACCGTCAAACAGAAGGATATCGTTAAAACTGTGACAGCTGATTTAGTATTTGACGAATGAATGACAGAAAATGCTATTTCTGATACATGCCCCCAAAAGAGCAAAAGCATGATAAACCCTTCAAAAATGGAATTAAGGCTCTAGCCTGTCATATCTTTATGACAAGAGAAAACAAAGCTCCGGTGGAGGGAATGCTTACCAGTGATGCTTGTGTGGAGGCCCACAGGCCAGGTCACCTGCTGAGTCACCTGCCGAGGCCCGCCGGCGTCCTCACAGGCCGCATCTGGGAAAGTGAAGTGTGAACTCGTGACTCTGCTCTAGGAAGCAAATGCCCATGTTCCTCTGCCGGTCTCCTCCACACCCCTCCTCCCTTTAGTAGTGGGTTGGCTCTGTGTCCATGCTGATTTCAGTGCTTACTAGTGACTTGCTGAACTTCACCTGTCAGCGAGTGTGGAGACACAGAAAAGCCTAGGAAGCCGAGCCTTGTTGACTTTAGGCACGAATCCCCTCGGTCGCCTTCTGATAGTGGAGGAAGACTGAGTTATGGCCGAGACGGCGCAGGAAGGGTTCCACTCGGTCTGCGTTAGGCCAGGCTGAGCCAAGCAGCCTTGTCTGCAGACAGAACCGCCCCTGCTGCCAGGATTCCTCCCGCTTGCTTCACTTGCAGGGGCAGCGGGGAGGGACACGCACGGAGAGGGGCCTGTTCATCACTCATGGGGCTGGGGGGGGGGGGTGTGGAGGAGAGGGGCCTGTTCTTCACTCATGGGGCTGGGGGGGGGTGTGGAGGAGAGGGGCCTGTACTTCACTCATGGGGCTGGGGGGGGGGGTAGAGGAGAGGGGCCTGTACTTCACTCATGGGGATGGGAGGGGGTAGAGGAGAGGGGCCTGTTCTTCACTCATGGGGCTGGGGGGGGGGGTGTGGAGGAGAGGGGCCTGTTCTACACTCATGGGGCTCCTGGTGGGGGGGATGGAGTGGGGGGCGGTGGGGGGGGGTCAGGGTTCCCGGTGGGGGGGATGAGGTGGGGGGCGGTCGGGGCCGGCTGGGGCTCCCGGTGTGGGGTGCGGGCAGGGTGAGGGTCCCCGGCCAGGGCTCCCGGTGGGGGGTGCGGGGCCCGGCCGGGGCTCCCGGTGGGGGGGGATGGGTGCGGGGCAGGGTGGGGGGCCCGGCCGGGGCTCCCGGCCCTCGGTAAGCCCGGCCCCTGTCCCCCCAGGTACGACCCGCGGCTCAACTCGTGGCTGCACCTGAGCCCCATGGCGCAGCGGCGCACGCACTTCAGCCTGAGCGCGCTGGACGGGCTGCTGTACGCGGCGGGCGGCCGCAACGCGCAGGGCGGCCTGGCCTCGCTCGAGTGCTACGAGCCGGCCTCCAACCAGTGGCGGCCGCGCGCGCCCATGGCGGCGCCGCGCTGCTGCCACGCCAGCGCCGCGGCCGCGGGCCGCCTGCTGGTCACCGGCGGCTACGTGGACGGCGCCTACTCGGGCTCCGTGTGCGCCTACGACCCCGCGGCCGACGCCTGGCAGGAGCTGCCCGCGCTGGGCGCGCCGCGGGGCTGGCACTGCGCGCTGGCGCTGGGCGGCCGCGTGCTGGTGCTGGGCGGCAGCCGGCTGGGCGCGCGCGGCGAGCGCGTGGACGTGCTGGCCGTGGAGAGCTACGACCCCGCCGCGCGGCGCTGGAGCGCGGCCGCGCCGCTGCCCGCGGGCGCCAGCACGGCGGGCGCCGCCGCGCTGCACGGCCGCGCCTTCCTGCTGGGCGGCTGGAACGAGGGCGAGCGGCGCTACCAGCGGAGCGTGCGCAGCTTCAGCCCCGAGCTCGACCGCTGGGCGGAGGAGGACGAGCTGCCCGACGCCGTGGTGGGGCTGTCCGCCTGCTGCCTGGCCCTGCCCGGCCGCGCCCCGCGCGAGTCCCGGGCCAGCTCGGTGTCCTCCGTGCCGGTCAGCATCTGAGCGCGGGCGCCGCGGGGCCGGAGGAGGAGGAGGCCCGGCGGCCCGCGCCCCGCTCTCCCCGCGCCGGAGCCCCTGACCCGGCAGGCGGCTCCGCGCCCGCCCGCCCGCCCGCCCGCGGGGAGCCGGCCCGACGCCCTGAAACCCAGACGCCGCCCTCGGACCAACCGGGCCCTGTGGACATGGCCGACGGTCCCCGGCGGGAACGGCACCGACCCCCCACCCGTCCTCGCACGCCTCGGCCGAGCCGGCGGGACCGCCGTCCACAGCGCCCTGCGAGCACCCAGCCGCGAAACAGCTGTCGAGGGCCCCAGACCGACGGAGGTGAGGCCTGCTCCTCGCGCATCCGCCCCAACAAGTCCGGACGGGCCGCTCACACCCGCCCCGGGCGTCCGTCCGTCCGTCCGTCCGTCCACACCTGCACAACCCGACAACCGCGGGACGAGGACGCCTCTGAAGACTCGTCTGCACCGAACACACGCGGACTATTCCCTTCTTGCCATTTCCTAAACAATACAAAACAGTTGCTGTTTACCTGCACTACACTGTGGAAGGTATGGTTTGTACTCTAGAAGTAACTTCAGAAGGTGGATGGATGCAGTCGTGGGTAAACGTAACACCACCGTGTGGTGGTACATGCGTGTGTACGTGTGCATGGATGGATGTGCATGCACACATACGCATACATACATAGGCCACTTGCACAAGGAACTCCAGCATCTGTGGATATTGAGCTCTGTGGCAGGGATGTCTTGGTCCCTATCTCCTGAGGACACCAAAGGATGATAGTATGTTATTCCAACTGTGAAAAGTGTTTCACTACGGAACAATTCTCTATGCTGCCCTCCACCTCTAGGCATTCAGTAGTAAAACTCAACTACAGGTATGGACACTGCACATTAAGAATGAGACGTTATGTACACGCACTGCTTCCTTTCCTCACAGAAAAGCTGTTCACCAAGTGCAGAGCGAGTCGGCAGGCATGCGGTGCTTACCTGCCCATGCTGGGACCTGACGCTCTGTGACAAGGTCATCTGTGGGGCAAGTCAAATCACCGGACTGCCCCCTCCACCACCCAGGCACCGCTCGATCCTGTACAGCCCCGGTTCTTACAGCCCAGGGGTGCAATACACTTTGCATTTGCAATCCGTCATTTGGGCCGCCCCTTACAAAGCCACAGATGCTAGGTTGGGGCCACCCTGGCATCTTCACTGTTCCATAAGCACACACCCACACAACCGGAAAGTGCTTCCTAACTGTGAGAGAAAAAAATGCTCAAATACCCTCAGTGGGCAAACAGATAACTCTGCCCTGGCCTGGGAGGAAGGATCTAGGCCTTGAATTATGACAGAACTAATCACTTGTAATATTTTCTGATAAAAAATGAGGAGAGGTCATGAAACCCGAGGATGCTTCATGCATCAGAATGTGACAAGGTAGGCTGTACAAACCCTGACAGTGGCTTTCTAGGAAGAAAACCAGAGATCTGTTAGAGCTGGACAAATCATTTAAGGTTACCATCTGAAAACTCAGAAAAAAAAATACACATGTGGGCTTGACAGAGACCAGGGCACACCACGGTCTTCGCTCCCTCAACAGCTAGACTAATGAAGACCAACAGACGCCTGGAATGCTAGGGTTTCTGACCGTGGTAAGGAGTGTGGAAGATGAGGATTGGAGACAGTTTTGAATCCTGAAACATCCCGAGTTGTATATACTTGTTCTATTGTCATCTTTCACATGTAACTCAGGCAGATTCTTTACTTCTCAAATGAAAATTTTACTCCATCTCCACTATGATTTAAGCCTACTTACACTCACAAGTCTTAGGAGCGAATGGTGTACTTCCTTTTATTTTTCTGATGCCTTGTTATTTTTACGACGCCTGAGTCCTATCTATGATTAAGCAAATGCACCCAGAGAAATAGCATGTTACCTGGCAGCTGTGGTAATAAAATTCAAGAACTCAAGCTAGAGACCTGATAAGGTCTCCAGGAAGAGACTTTCCCGTAGCTTATCCATCTTTGCTTGGGATCTTAGGATCAAGTTGTGGTCCTTAACGCATGGGTTGTTTTCAGTGTATTGGGTGTTTCACTCTTACTCCTGGTAGATCAGTGAGGATGCAGATGATACAGGGCTGTGTGCTGATAGGGGTAGAGGGCTTGATGCGTAAAGAAGTTAACTGAGGTAATAAGGAAGTGTGTAAGGAATGGATCTAGGGTTCTAGCAATTACAGAGTGTGTTTCCCAAACATGTAGATGAGCAGAGGTCACCTGGAAATATGTTAGCAAAAAGAAACAAAAGTAACATCATCAATTTACTTTTCCCTTAGTTACAACCAAGTGAATCTGTGTCATCTCTAAGGAGCTGACCTGTCTCCTACTCACCAACCAATGTATTCCTTGACACAAGACCGCACTAAAAGGACTTTTTTTTTCAGTATTTCTTTTTGCCTCAATAAAAACTAGGGCATAATTTCTCAAACACACTTCCATGCATCATTATTGGAACTGAAGATTAAAAATACTAATCTACCCTATAGCACCTCAGTGGTAAAGACCACTTAACCACCCCCCTTAGGAAAGTTGAAATAGAAGAGCTACCTTGGATACTGTTAATTATCTATTTATTTGGCAAGGGTTGGCAGAAAATGTCTTCACTTAAAATATTCTGGGACTGAAGAAGGAGCAGCCAAACAAAATGTCTGCAGTGTTGTTCTGTCAACATGTACAGATGAGCTCGATCAAAGACCAATGTGGACAGTTTGGAAGTATTCTCTCTGTGATGATTGGGGAGGTATTGGGGTACTTGCTTTTGCTTTTTCTGATTTTGTTGTCCTTACTCACCTAAATACAACAAAACAAATGCTTGAAAGGGTGTTATACTGCTAGAAGACGCCAAAGAAAAAGCCGAAAGCAGTAATAATGACTGACTGCACAGCTCAGGTGCACCATCAGGCAGTGGCATCACTTTGGGGGAAACAAAAGCATTTTACTGCATGGTAGAATGTCACAGTCTCCTCTCTTCCATTTCAGCTTTTTAACTGAAAAAATGAAATGCAACCACCAACCATGTGTCTGTGTGTTAAATAACAACATTTAGTCATGGCTAGGATAGTCAGTGTTTCTTAGACTTCCTTGGGGCCCCTATCCATGTAAAGAGACTAGACGAAGAACAAACTCCAGTCCCGAGAACACCAGCCAGCGGCAGCAGCTCTGAGTTTTCACTCATCTTCCACCTGACTCCCCAGTCCGTGTGCTGCTCTCCCCCTCACCTTCAGTCCTTCCTTCTTTCTCTTTAGGTCTTCCCCTTCCTCTCTCTCTCTCTCTCTCTCTCTCTCTCTCTCTCCCTCTCTCTTTCTCTCTCTCTCACACACACACACACACTCTCTCTCTCTCATTCACACATAGGCCCGTCTGTCCCATCCACCGCACCTGGGATCATTTAATGATATAACCTATCTGAGTTACTCCGTGATTTATCAGATCCCTATGTCAAGCTTAGTTGAAAGTCTGGAGGCTGGAGATGTTCAAACCCACCTCCACGCTTTCCTCTCCGAGCAGTACAGGGAGGCATGGAGGCCCACCTCAGGAAAGAGCAGCTCTGTGAAGGAGAAAGCACGTCCAGCCCGAATCCTTAGAGACAGCGCCACAGCCCGTATTTCCTAGATACAGGCACAGCTGTATGCAGCGCAGCTGTGCCAGTCCATCGATCACGCACCCGCCACCCAGCTTCAAGCCAAGTATGCTCCCGAGGGAAAAGGAGGCAGAGAGGGACTGTCCCCTGTCCCTTCGGTGGATGTAGCAGCCTGTAGTTCTTAACCTGAAGATCGCACCCTGCATCTTTGATTAACTTTCTCCCCAAAAAAGGCCCTTGTAAATACAGCCTAAGCATCATTCCAATTCTAGCTCTTGATATTCAGTCACAGTGAAAGAAGTGGCTAAAATCTTCAAAAAAATGAAGGCCTTTATCATTGCTATTCTTTAGCCCAGAAGAGGAAAATTAGGAAAGAAGCAGGATACTGGTCACGCTGCATGCCCCATGATCTGACTCGGCCTGATCTGAAGGGCTCGAGCCTTGGCATCTGGTGGTCTTCACTCTGCACTCACACTTGGTTTTCTGTGTAGGCTACGCATTATGGGATTCTGTCTCCTTCCATCTTGGAGACATCTCTGCTCTTAGAGAGGAAAACCACACAGGATCTATTTTTGTGAGCCAGGTATATCAGTTCCACTCACATCTTTTTGGCCAGAACTAGCTATACAGCTGTACCTGGATGTAAGGGAGCTGGAGAAAGCCTTCCTATAAGCCAGGAGGAAGAAGAAACGTTTTCACAGAGCATGGTCTCTATGACACATAAGGCTGCTCTTCTTCCCTCATACTTGTGAAAGGAATAAAGAGTGTTCCAGTCAAAGTGACAAATACACTCTTCTGCTCTATTCACACAACATAAGACGGACAACTAGCGTTCCTGTGACACCTTGTATTTTCCTTCTGAGGAACAAGCCTACCCAATTCTTAATTCAGTGGGCCTACAGATCCACAGCATGCATTAAATGAATCAGTATTTACACAAATCTGGGTTCCATAAACTCTCGAGGAGATCATCTAATATCAGTAATCGCCCTCCAGCCTTCCCAGCCTGGACATCCCTGTCCCTCTACTTTCAGAATGCTCTAGATTCTTCTTTCTAGAACAAGGCTGACTAGAAGTTACACCTTTGTGACTCAGTTCCTCTCACTCCAGCTATGTAAGGAAGCGCTAGTACCAGGTGGTTTAGGGAGAAGAGAATACACATGTAGAGTCTAAAAGAGGATATATATATTGATTAACTCAGTCAATGTTAAAGAAGAGGGCTCCTGAGGGAAAATGAACTGTTTTATTCTATCACAGCTCTGCATGTAGATAGCAAAGGAAATGCCTTTGTTGTTTAGTAAATGCTCAGCGAACATGACCATGATCATATTTACGGCTGGAACACCCTCAGGGGGAACCGCTGAGGCCCAAAGCACCGTCT